GTTATCTCTGGACTTTTTTGATGTATGATAGGGTGTGGGTTATCTCTGGACTTTTGTTGTTGTATGATGGGGTGTAGGTTATTTCCGGACTTTTTTGTTGTATAATAAGGTGTGGGTTATTTCTGTACATTTTTGTTGTATGATAGGGTGTGGGTTATTTCTGGACTTTTATTTGTTGTAGGATAAGATGTGGGTTATCTCTGAACTTTTGTTGTTGTATGATAGGGTATGAGTTATCTCTGGACTTTTTTTAGTTGTAGGATGGGGTGTGGGTTATCTCTGGACTTTTTTTTGTTGTAGGATAGGATGTGGGTTATCTCTGGACTTTTTTTTGTTGTAGGATAGGATTTGGGTTATCTCTGGACTTTTTTTTGTTGTATGATATGGTGTGAGTTATCTCTGGACTTTTTTTTTGTTGTAGGATAGGATGTGGGTTATCTCTGAACTTTTGTTGTTGTATGATAGGGTGTGAGTTATCTCTGAACTTTATTGTTGTATGATGGGGTGTGGGTTATCTCTGGACTTTTTTGTTGTATGATAGGGTGTGGGTTATCTCTGGACTTTTGTTGTTGTATGATGGGGTGTGGGTTATTTCCGGACTTTTTTGTTGTATGATAAGGTGTGGGTTATCTCTGTACAGTTTTGTTGTATGATAGGGTGTGGGTTATTTCTGGACTTTTATTTGTTGTAGGATAGGGTGTGGCTTATCTCTGGACTTTTTTTGTTGTATGATGGGGTGTGGGTTATATCTGGACTTTTTTTGTTGTATGATAGGGTGTGTGTAATCTCTGGACTTTTTTTGTTGGAGGATAGGGTGTGGGTTATCTCTGGACCTTTTTTGTTGTATGATAGGGTGTGGGTTATTTCTGGACTTTTATTTGTTGTAGGATAGGGTGTGGCTTATCTCAGGACTTTTGTTGTTGTATGATGGGGTGTGGGTTATATCTGGACTTTTTTTGTTGTATGATAGGGTGTGGGTTATCTCTGGACTTTTTTTTGTTGTATGATAGAGTGTGGGTTATCTCTGAACTTTTGTTGTTGTATGATAGGGTGTGGGTTATCTCTGGACGTTTTTTGTTGTATGATAGGGTGTGGGTTATCTCTGGACTTTTTTTATTGTGTGATGGGGTGTGGGTTATCTCTGAACTTTTGTTGTTGTATGATAGGGTGTGGATTATCTCTGGACTTTTTGTTGTAGGAGATGGTGTGGGTTATTTCTAGACTTTTCTGTTGTATGAAAGGGTGTGAGTTATCTCTGGACTTTTTTGTTGTATGATAGGGTGTGGGTATTCTCTGGACTTTTTTGTTGTATGATAGGGTGTGGGTTATCTCTTGACTTTTTGTTGAATGATAGGGTATGGGTTATCTCTGGACTTTTTTGTTGTATGATAGGGTGTGGGTAATCTCTGGACTTTTTTTGTGGTACGATAGGGTGTGGGTTATCTCTGAACTTTTTTGTTGTATGATAGGGTGTGAGGTATCTCTGGACTTTTTTTGTTGTATGCTAGGGTGTTGGTTATTTCCGAACTTTTTGTTGTATGATAAGGTGTAGGTTATCCCTGGACTTTTGTTGTGGTACGATAGGGTGTTGGTTATCTCTGAACTTTTTTGTTGTATCATAGGGTGTGGGTTATCTCTGGACTTTTTTTGTTGTATGATAGGGTTTGGGTTATCTCTGGACTGTTGTGTTGTATGATAGGGTGTGGGCTATCTCTGGACTTTTTTTATTTTTTGATAAGGTGTGGGTTATCCCTGGACTTTTGTTGTTGTAGGATAGAGTGTGGGTTATCTCTGGACTTTTGTTGTTGTATGAAAGAGTGTGGGTTATCTCTGGACTTTTGTTGTTGTATGATAGGGTGTGGGTTATCTCTGGACTTTTTTGTTTTATGATAGGGTGTGGGTTATCTCTGGACTTTTTTGTTATATGATAGGGTGAGGGTTATCTCTGGACTTTTTTGTTGTATAAATTGTGAGAAGGAACATCTGGTAAAATATTGTAGTAGATAGAAACATTTCTAATTTGCCAATTGAGAACACGCTCGATTATTGAGATTTGTTAAACGTGTGATTTGTTCCTTCTGTTGTTTCTGCCGTTTGTCCGTTGTCAATTTAATTTAATTTACTTCGTTCCTGAATTCAGCTATCTCTACACCGATTTTAAAACGGAAACAAACTAAAATACGCCATTTTTTCAATGGCAGACAAAATTATCCGAGCGTCTCCTAGTTTTCAAAAATGTTTATTTACGGTGTGGTATTTTTTAAAATCTTTTTCTCTAATCAATACGTCAAATATTTGCCACGGGACATTAACAAGCAATAAACATTGAAACATGCAAATCGCCGACTAACACCCTATACATAAGAGATTTTGAGTCTTTTCCGATGTTCTCATCTATGCACATCAAAGATATGTAAATATCGCAAACCAAAAAATTCATTTGTGTTAATGACATTAATTATCAATAAAAGAAACATGTAAAGATAAGCTTTCCGTAAGTTCTTCCTTTTTCAGATTAAATCAAACATTCATAAAGAATACCCATATTGCTTGGGGTAACAAATAATCATGAATGAATACACCAGTAATAATATCGTTGCAGTATTTCGGAAGTCGTCTTAATATTAAGAACATCGATGCATTCATGTGTGTATTGTTATGCGTCCAAAATCGGTAGACAAATAAAACGTTAATGCTTGAATGACTTCTAAGCTATTAGAATTTCAAAGAAATATTGAAATTCACGTAAGATCTCGCTCAAACGCGACTTTGCGTTTTACGACATCAAAGTTTCAATTGTTGTGTAAGAAAATAAAACTCTGACCGTGTCACAGGGTACATGGTGGTACCCTCGGAGAATGATACTCACTTACAAACCAAACGTTATATGGAGCTCTATCTGATCAGTTTTAACTCCTAGATGATAAGTACGAGTTATTTCCCTTCCTGTTGGATCAACACGGGTCAAGTTACGCAAGTTATTCTATTATTTGTTGACAAAAGGATCAGGTTGAAGGGGCGAAAATGAAAAATAAATTCGCCGATTAGAGCGAACGTTTTTATAATTTATTTGATTTTTTTGCGCGTTCTTACATGCTTATAGGGTTTTGTAATTTGTCAATGTAATACGTATTTCACTTCACTTCAATTCGTTCCTGATTTATCTTTATTTAAATCGTTTTGTAGTGAATTGTTTTTACGTACAAATGTTCCAGAGATCATCGAACGGGCCTTTAAATAACTTGAACATCTGTCAAATTAGGTGACAAATGGAGATGATGATGCAAATCAAAGCGTTAACTGTGCAAAATAATTATTTCGTGACTCGATAAAGTGGTATTCGTTTATTAATTTATCCTATTAATTTATGTATATTATCAGTAAAGGTATTTAACCGATGGACGCAAAGCAAAACGTTTATGTTGTATAACGTCAAATTTTGCATTTGCTGAGACGTAATGGTCCACATGTGGAGCAGGATCTGCTTACCCTTCAGGAGCACCTGAGATCACCCCCAGTTTTGGTGGGGTTCGTGTTGCTCAGTCTTAAGTTTTCTATGTTGTGTTTTGTGTACTATTGTTTGTCCAAATCACGTTCGCTTCTCACTTAAAAAAAAACCTCTCGCTATATGAGGATCTGGATGGTGTTTACAGAATAGAGAATAATGGACTAAAATTGCAGAATAATGAGCAGCAAATTTTAAGAATAGAGAAAGATGACCTAAAAAATTGAAGAATACAGAATGAAGGAATCCCATCCCTACCCATTTGTATGCATTAAACATTAACATAGCAACCCAATAAGATTGGCTCCCTTTCCTTTATCTATTTGGCTCTGACAGATATAAAGACAACATGGGTGACTCAGTTACCCGTATGTTGCAAGGGACAGAACCCGCCTGGCAACTTACGAGGATCTGAGAGGAGGCAGAATTTATAATGATTGACTATGGGGTGAATCCAGGAAGGGGCGAGTGGATGGCCCGGGACTTCAATATGGCCGGCAATTTATGTTTATAATATTTTCCTCATTTTTTACTCCAGGATTAACCACTTTTAAGACGACGCTTTTCGGTTGGACACTCTAGCCCAAATCCCTTTTCGAAAAATCCTGAACCCGCCACTAGGCAACTTCCAAGCAAGGACTTAAGCTCATAAACTCGGCAATCAATGTAAAAAGTGTTATACGCAGGACTTCGGGAAAGTTCGGAGAGCCGACAACCTTGCTTCGGAAGTTGGCCACTTGGCTAACGTAATTCGCCGTTTAAGAATTTATAGGATTGTGGGTAATTTCATTGTTCGTTCCCAAAAGGAAAATAACGTCACGTCATTGGTTGAATTCCCTTTGTTTATGACGTTCTCAGCCAATCACAACGTTTTGGTGAAAGCTTGTGAAAATATAACCCATAATTCATTAGATTCTGAAACGGCGAATTATAAAGAAAATATATAGTTTCACAAATAACAAATAGAAGAATGAAGAATCTGTCTGATCCCCGTAACCGAAGCATGAACACAGGATCCGTAATTCAATCAGATTTCAATATACTTATTATTTCATAAAACCATGAATTTTAACATCCTTCAACTTCGAACGCAAAACAAGAAGTGATTTAGCCATTTGAAGATGATATTCCTACATATATCAAAAATAAAAAATAAAAATCGAAATTATGTGTGTATAAATTGGATTGTACATACTGTAGGTATGATCTGGGACTAAATATATTAGTAGAATAGTCCCAGGTATAAATATGTATATTATTTCAAAACTGAAAAGAAAATTTTTGGAAAGAATATAAACAAACAAAAAATCAATAATTTAACCATCCTTCAAATAAAGGCTCTATATATATAAACAAAATTATGAACAAATTTCAACAATTTAACAATCCTTCAATTAAAGGCTATATATATATATATATATATAAACAAAATTATGAAAAATACTTTAAGTAATACTATTGCAATCCTTTCCGGAAAAAAATCATCCTTTTATCTTTCATCGGCCAATCAGAACACAACATCCGTATTTAACAACCAATCAACGTTCGCGAATTAAATGATGGCTGAATTTTCTCTACTTAGACAACTTAAAATCTATACAATTATCATTGATTGTATTTAAACAAAGGGAAAATTATAAAAAAGGTAAGATAGATTTCAACTGCCAAGAGTAGATATTGGAAAGATAGTGTGTGTAAAGGGGGAAATCATTTATATCTGGAAGAAGAGAGACGATTTTAGCTGCCCGAATAGAAATTAGAGAGATCTTCGTTTTGAAGGGGGAAATCATTAAGAGTTGGACAACCTGATTTCAACGTAAGTTGATTTTTTGTATGTTTTTTTTTCAAATCTTTTTATCACAAACTTGTCTACACCTGTAATTTTATTTTTGTTTATCTCTTTATTCCCCGTAACATTTTTGTTTGTTTGTTTAATTTTTTCACGCGTAAACAGGTATGGTCAAATTCTCGTGTATTTGTTTGACTTAGGGGAACAGAATCGGAATGTCGAAGAAATTCATTGGCTTTGATTACTCAAGAGTATTAATGATGTTCTTTAAAATAAATCGACATTTTCATATACATTATGATAGCAATCTATGAAACAGAAATGTTATCATGGATAGTTCAAATAGTATCCTTCATTAAACGGGCATTATAACTGAGGATATAGCTATTGTATATGTTTAATTATTGGTAGGCTTCTTACTTTTTAGGGATATGTTTACCTTATTTTTTGATTATTTCTTTTTGTGTTACTGTTTTCACAAATCTATATGATTTACATGCCAAAAAAAGAAATTATTAAGTTTTTATTTTGTTTTATAAAGTTTTTGCTATATATGCTGTTGAATATTATTTTTTGTACAAGATTGAAAATTGTACATGTTTTTTTTCTAAAATGTATCTCGAAGGATTGAATAATTGCTTGGTGATTGCTCAACGCCGCGTCAGTGCGAAAAAAGCTAAACATCCTCGAAAGAAGTCTGTAATAAAAATAAATTAGTTTGAATCATAAAGCAATGGACAATGAATAGTTTTTTTCCAACAAAATATCGGTTTGGGATCGGTATGTCCGTTGTAAATTGCAGTTTTTAGTCATTTTTAGCGTACAAAATCTGTTTGAATGTAACAAAATGAAAAATAATATTTTTAGTACGACAAAGTCAACAGTTTTCCATATAAAAATTAAACAAGAATGATTTATGTGGAATATTTACATACAACTGTATGCTTATAAAAAATGGAGATGTGGTATGATTGCCAATGAGACAACTATCCACCAAAGTTCAAATGAAATGGATGTTAGCAATTATAGGCAACCGTACGACCTTCAACAATGAGAAAAACCCATACCGTAAAGTCGGCTATCAACTGTTTGTTATAAATTAGGCCGTTAGTTTTCTCAATTGAATTGTTTCATATTTTTCATGTCGGGGCCTTTTATAACCGACCATACGATATGGGTTTTTCTCATTGTTGAAGGCCGTACGGTTGCCTATAATTGCTTGCATCCACTTCATTTGAACTTCGGTGGATAGTTGTCTCATTGGCAATCATACCACATCTCCTAATTTTTATATAAAATTCCCTTAACGGCCTAATTTATAACAAAACAATTTACGAAAAACAAATGTGACAGACATGAACCAACATAATTACAAGTTTAGTTTAGATTAATATAGTGTAACATTTGTGTGTGTGTGTTTTCTTCCTTGCCGCTGTTATGTTGAACTGTTACACCACTGTCCCAGGTCAGGGGGAGCGTTAGGCGCCAGCAAACATGTTTAACCCCGCCACAAACTAAATGTGCCTGTCACAAGTCAGGAGCCTGCAATTCAGTGGTTGTCGTTTGTTGCTGTATATCATATTTGTTTTTCGTTTATTGTTTTGTACATGAATCAGGCCGTTAGTTTTCTTGTTTGAATTGTTTTACATTAGTCATTTCTGGGCCTTTTATTGCTTACTATGCGGTATGGTTTTGCTCATGGTTGAAGACCGTACAGTCCTCTATAATAGTTGTTAACATCCTCGTCATTTGGTCTCTGTGGAAAGATGCTTCATTGGCAATTATACCCCTTTATTTTATTTTAAAGCCTTATAATGTCAAGATGGGATAAACACTTCACTTTATAACTGTCCGACGAACACGCCACCTTTTCACCTTCCGTTGAACCCCCTACTATTGACCAATAGAGGAAGTAATAGTGATGAATTAAGTGTAGCGATAAAACTCCCATGATAGTACTTCGGAACGACTTCCGATCGGAAAAGGTAGTTTAAACATAGAAGTGATCCATCGTTTATTCATAAATTGCCGTACAGATGTATAAATTAAATAGCGTTAAGTAAAGATAAAATGTCTTAAAAAACAGATGTATAATAAATAAAATAGCGATAAGTAAAAATAAAATGTCGTAAAAAGAGTATAAATAGAACGTCGCGAATAAGTAGAAATAAAATGTCGTAAATAATTGTAATTCTATTCATTGAATTTATTGATTGATCGATTTTTGTGTTTAAAGCCAATTTCAGCACTCTTGGATATTTCATGGCAACCATTTTTCATATGTGGACGAAGCTGGAGTGCCCAGAGAGCACTACCGACTTTTGGCAGAAAAACAGGCATTCCTAGTCATTTAAATTCACAATCGAACGCAACTGTCATGATTAGGATTCGAACCCACAGCCTCTGTTTTGACAGACTTGTTACCACTGTAGATGAACTACGTAGACCACTTAAGGATGTACTTAGGTCAGGTTTAGGATTTTTTGTCAGATTTTCGGAGTCCTTGATTTTTTTCCTACGATACAGGGTAAAATATTTTGCCCCATAACACCCATTTTTCTTTTCATGTAAGACTTCAATAGCTCATAAAAGGTCATTTACAAAAATTTAAGTAGATTCTAGATTTCTTTTCTTTCGATTGAGACCCAAATAATACCAATGCAAATATAAGGTAAAAGTCCGAGTCAGCCTTTTCCCGCCATTTTTAAAAATTAAATATCTCGAAAAGGAGCTCCATAACCTATCAATATTTTTAGCTTAATTTGTTCCTTAACTAATGCTCTTCTGACTTATAATATCAATTTTAAATTCTAGATTTTTTTTTTAATTTCACCTAAGTACATCATTAACCACCGAGGCCCTTTCTTAATTTTCGAAATTAGACGTAAATGGGTCTAGTAATACATGTACATTGAATTAATACAAGTATCAATACAAAGAATATATACTTTAAAAAAAACATATGTTGTCTTTTGGTTTTTTATTGATTCGTTGGATTGCTGTTGCAATGGCGTATATATGAATGTTGTAAAAACTCATTGCCTTTGTAAACGTTAATAGAACAGCAACCTAACAACACAAATTGATTGCATACTAAATATGGACATGTAAGAGTTACTAAGGGGATTGCAACGATATACAAGCACTAACATATTGTGACAATCTCTAAATTTTTCGAAAGATATGCACACACATTAGCCATTTCATTTCACTTAATGCAAGAAAATGTGGTTGTGGCGGTTAAAGGCCTTCGTTTTTAGGATTTTCGCCCCTCTGTTTAAAAAAACAAGCTTTTTAAAAAGACTGTTATGAATCGATAGTATTAAAAAGCAGAAAAAATGAAGGGTCCGTGTCATTGGTTTTGAGATATAATCAATCGAAAATTGGCGGGAAACGATTCTCTCTAGATTTTTCATATATTTAACATAGACACCTTTTTTCTTTCAAAAACTATAAAAAAATATTAAGGATTTTTTAAGATTTTCAAAAATAGCCTTTTAAACTATGTAATAAAATTATGAAAAGAAAAATTGAGGTTAGCAGGGCAAAATTATTTATAGGCATAACACCAGAGGTTTCCGAATATCTGACAAAAAGTCAAAACAAGAGTAGCAAACATCCTTATAGACAGTTTTCAAATGATCTAATTTGAACAAGAGGTACTTCCCTTCGCCGCCATTGAGGTCATCGTGCACAATATCTTTCATAAATCAGCCAACTTCAACTTGTTTTGCTGACCGCGCTAGACTTTACAAGAAGTTGTTTTCTGAACAGTTTTTATTTGTCTAAACCTTATATATTTCAGCATTACGATCTAGTAAGGATCTCTTATCATACTTGATTGTACTTGATGTTTTGGTAGTCAAATGAAAAAAAAACCAACTAGTTTCATCACCAACATGGTGGCCATGGGAAATAACTCCAACTCAAATTACTTCACTTGAAATGTGTACACATGTGGAGCAGGATCTGCTTACCCTTCCGGAGCACCTGAGATCACCCCTAGTTTTTGGTGGGGTTCGTGTTGCTCGGTCGTTAGTTTTCTATGTTGTGTTTTGTGTACTGTCGTTTGTCTAATTGTCTTTGTCTTTTTTAGCCGAGGCGCTGTCAGTTTATTTTCAACTTATGAGTTTGAATGTCCCTTTGGTATTTTTGAAAACTATCAATACTTGGAAATTAACCTGTATCAATGAAACTGAGCTTATAAGGCTGCTCTTTATTTTGGAAGTTACTTTCGAAATCAACAAAAAGGTGCAAAATGTTTGAGAATTTATACAGGAATTTAAAAATCTTTGTGCACAAATGGACTGTTAAAACAGAATTAAAAATTTAAATAATATACTAAATGTTAACTACAAATTATAACATAACGTGAACACACTGACTCATCGAAAGAATCATAAAAAATGCTCATATCCACCATTCCGACGATTCCTAAATTAACCTGGTCTTAAAAAAAACAAAAAACTCCCATATTTCGACTCTCTCAAGATTTTCAGAAACCATCAGAAAGACACTCCTACATTTCGACTCTCTAGATTTTCACTGATCATCAGAAAGACACTCCTACATTTCGACTCTCTTTAGATTTTCAGTGATCATCAGAAAGACAATCTTACATTTCGACTCGCTCTAGATTTTCAGTTATCATCAGAAAGACACTCCCATATTTCGACTCTGTAATCATCAGAATTGTTATGCATGGTTTATTCTACTACAGACTTATTTGTTTTTGATTATGTCTGGTGTTTGTGCATGCCACCCGAATGTGAATAAAGGTTTCGTTTTCATATAAAACTGTGTGGTATTAAAAATCGCTATAACGATATAACGAGTCACTATTCCTTTTCCAATATTTTCCGAATGTACGTAAATAATTTGATTTATAAGGATAGGTAGATAACAACAGACTCATCATCTGAATATCACTTAATTACATTACTTTATCTCTTATCAATAGTGGTAATGATATGTAAAAATAATAATAATAAGCCAATCAGGACAATTAAGACAACGATGTCCATATA